TGAATGGAGAAAGTTTATCTGGCTCTGCTCCGGAATTTATTGGGTTCGACTTCGATTCACCCAATAAATTCCTTCGCCTCGTCAGATAAACTTTCTCCATCCACGGCACCAACCTATTATTCTCTATTTATTGTCGGTGTCGCATCTGCGACAACGTCGTACGACCGTTTTATGAAACGTGTCGCTGACGTTTTGCGACGTCGCAGTCTTTGTCGTAGACGATAATTCACGCGAGACAGTCTATTCAGTGCTCGCTTAGACGTCACAGCTATCAGAAGTGACAGAAGAAAGCATTAACAACATGGAGAGGCAAAAAAGGAAAAGAAAAACTTTACGTAGACAAATGGAGACTATTTTGAAATTAACATTATCATTATGATACAAATAAATACTTTTTAGTGTCATACGACCGACAATTTAAGTGAAAACAGCTACTTTTACGGCACTCTAACCACCCTATCCATGCAGAGCAAACACGGGTTTTATAACGTTTAAATAATGATTTTAGAGCATGCCAGATGCTAATCATCAGAAGATAGTAGTGGTCAATGTGAAATTTTTTAAAAAAAATTTGGGAAAAATGTTAAAAAGTATATTTGATTTCTAAAAAAAACTAAAAATTTCTTCCCAAATTAAATTCCCAAAAAAATTTAAACAGAAGAAACGATATTTAAAGGGTTTAATGATTGTTCAGTAACTAATATAAATAAAAATAATTAAAACTAAGTATGGTTTTCGAGAAGATTCGAGTACATTCGAGTACATTCATAATCATTTTTGATAGTATTTTCCGAGGAATACAGTAGACACAAGACAAAAACAGACAATTTCTAACTAGGTATCTGTTCTTTCTCGTTGTTTGGAAGAAATACATATGTTACTGTTGTTAATGTATGGAAATAATGAATTGCCGTAATGTCATATTTTCGTGACGGTATATTAACCCATTACTTCATGAGCATTTTGTGAAAAATGGCTGTTTTCATTGAAAAGTCTCCCGTTACAAGTTCAAATTGCTATAATACTATAACTAGAAATGTGTCATCATGCCACGGATGCCCCCGCATGCAGCCAAAATTTCAGATGGTGCATTAATTATTTTTTTCATTTTAAGTTCAAAAGCCTTTAAAACTTTTCAATGTTAACAAAAACCATTTTCATACAATGTTCAAGGCACTGAAATTATTCAGTTTTAACCTTTTAAAAATAGCATATTGCATATTTGTAGCCAAAATAATGGCTAAAAGTATGAGTGCTGAAACTGAAGGTTCAAAATTTTTCCAACATTCAGGAAAGATAAGTTTGTCTAAAATCATTGAACCACGACCAAATTCAAACTTAAACTGCTTATTCCTAAGATGTATCTATATATTATTTTCAAAGTGAAAGGGACATAACTTTGCCAAAAAATCATCAAACCATGACCAAATTCCAACTTGACCTGCCCATTCCTTTGACATATCCATATGTCAAATTAAAGTTGAATATGTAACACTGTTGGGTAGATAATGAACAGAAACTATCAATTTCATATTATTTTCAAAGTGAAAGGTTCATTACTCTGCCAAAAATCATTGAACAATGATCAAATTCGAACTTGACCTGCCCATTCCTTTGACATATCCATATGTCAAATTTAAGTTGAATATGTAACACTGTTGGGTAGATAATTAACAGAAACTGTAAATTTCATATTATTTTCAAAGTGAAAGGGGCATTACTCTGCCAAAAATCATTGAACCATGACCAAATTCGAACTTGGCCTGGGCATTCCAAAAGCATATCCATATGTCAAATTTGAGTTGAATGTGTTGTACCATTGGGGAGATAATAAACGGAAACTGAAAATTTCATATTACTTTCAAAGTGAAAGGGGCATAACTCTGCCAAAAATCATTGAACCATGACCAAATTTGAACTTGACCTGCGCATTCCTTTGACGCATCCATATGTAAAGTTTGAATTAATGTGTTGTACCTTTGGGGAGATAATGAACGGAAACTGAAAATTTCATATTATTTCAAAGTAAAAGGGGCTTTCTCTGCCAAAAGTCATCCAACCATGACCAAATTCGAACTTGACCTGTATTTTCTCATGAATATCCATATGTCAAGTTTGAGTTGAATGTGTTGTACCGTTGGGGAGATAATGAACGGAAACTGAAAATTTCATATTATTTTCAAAGTAAAAGGGGCATAACTCTGCCAAAAATCATCGAACCATGACCAAATTCAAACTTGACCTGTATTTTCTCATGACATATCCATATGTCAAGTTTGAGTTAAATGTGTTGTACCGTTGGGGAGATAATAAACGGAAACTGAAATTTCATATTATTTTCAAAGTAAAAGGGGCATAACTCTGCCAAAAATCATCGAACCATGACCAAATTCGAACTTGACCTGTATTTTCTCATGACATATCCATATGTCAAATTTGAGTTGAATGTGTGCAACCGTTCTTAAGATAATGAACGGAAACTGATGATGACGGAATGACAGAATGACGGAAGGACGGAAGGATGGAAGGACGGAAGGATGGAAGGACGGAAGGACGGAATGACGGAACAGGGTAACACTATATGCCCCGGCCATTACATGGCGGGGGCATAAAAACTGCTTCAACACTAATCAAACTTGGCACAAATGCTGACTGGACCCTTGCCCTTGCAACAACATGCTCAGGCTTAAATTTTCTGTTACCATGGCAACGAGGGGACATCTCAAAATTGCCAAAAATCACTATTTTGCGTTGATTTTTTCCATCAAAATTGATTTCAAAGTGCTGCAACTTCTCAATGGATTGAGATAGAGTCAAATGCTTTTCAGCATTGGTTACACGTTACCTTATGATCAATCTGGGTTCATTTACAGCCTCTGACAAGTCCAAAATTTTCTTGCCGATGAGGGGGACTCCGCCCCCCTTCAAACCCCCCAAACAGAAAGGGGCACATCCCCCTTCTGGCAACCCCCTGATGTATCTTTTGGTTGGGGGACCGCGCCAAAAAGAGGTCACTTTTTTTAACAACATTTCTCAAACAAAAACAAGTGTTTGGGGCCTAAATAAGGCATTTTTTCATCATTTGAGACAACAAAAAGGGGGGGGGGTGAAAAAGGCGTTAAAAGGCGTGAATATGAAGTAATGGGTTAAGACAGTAAAGGAATGCGCACTGCTTTCTTAATTGAGACGTAACACGCTCATGTAATACTACTATTTATTTATTATTTTAAATAATCCCCAACCCCCGGCATTGCAGTTCAGATACTAGATTGTTTTAAGAATTAAAATGCATAATTAATACACCATGCAAATTGTGCAGTTAATAATTAAATTTGACAACTTATATATTAGTGCTTTTTCATCCATGATAACTTATTGTTAATCTCGCCTTGTCTTGTTGATCTTTTTTAATATATTCTATTGACTGTTTTTATTTCCCCTTTAAAATTGTTTTTTCAGTGTCATATCAATGGTAACCTTCCGACGTTCTCTATTTTATACCATATGGGTGTTCCTCAAAAAAGTATGTAAATTTATGTCAAATCTAGTAAAATTATAATGATTTTTCACAATTTGAAAATAAACTAGAAATGTGCCAATAGGACACGGGTGCCCCAACCGCGCCACTGTTTTGTCAATCTTATGACTCTAGGTCAAATATTTTTTGAAAACTAAAAATTTTTTACTAAGAACTTTAAAATACTGAATAAATCCATAAGCAAAGCCCAAGGTGCATAAGTACACATGCTGACCAACATTCTTGTAAACTTTCAGGCCTACAAGTGAAATATTTGCTTCACATATACGATATTTTAGTCATTTTTATGGGGTATAAAATTTGCGGATTCTTTTTCTTTCTGATACTTAGAGGGCATGTCTAGAGTCCCCAAATAGCGTTTGGCATTAAAAAACAAGTAAAAAACAAAAGAAATATCTGTTTTATTCTGAAAAAGTTATTTCATAAAAATAATGTGCTGAGCATGTATACAAATGTATATGTAAACAGCGATTGACGTCACAGAAACATCGCCCGACTGCCCTTTGCGTGTCGTAGAGCTTAGACATGTACATTAACAAAACGGTCCGTACCGGTCTGCGACGAATATTAGTCTGCGACGTGTCATAGAGCGTTGATAAAACGGCGCAGCTGAATACCATAATTTCGGTTTTGCTCATTAATAATCATGCCCATATTACTGAAAAAAAATCTTAAATAGAACTGAAATGTAAATAAAATTGCTGTTTCAGCACAATTTACAACGTCATCTGTGAAAATAATGCATACAACAACATTGCCATGAATTTCATTTGCACAAAAATGCGAAGTGTTTTGGTCACAGAAAGCGAGATAACTCATTAATATATTAATTTAATTACATCGTACTAGTTAAGTCCCCTGTCTTATGTCACGCCTTATTTCAAAGCTATTTAGGCTATTGTATCTCACTTGCTGACAGAATCTTTAGAATAATGGAATCTATCATTAAGTTTTAAAGAGGATAGGAAAATTTCAACCAGAGGGTGATCGGTTCTTTCAAGAACGAGCTTTGGCAAGTTCCCGACGGAACCGATTACTCGAGGGTTGGGATTTCCCTTTCCTTTGCCTAACCATTTTTCTCATTCACCTTGACACACAAGAAACTTTATAAAAAAATCAATGAAACTACTTCTTATGCATATTACAACCTTGTTTTAAAAGAATATCGTTTGTGATTTCACCTATTCTGCCTTCCTACGCACCGGTGTTAAAAGCCGATAAATACCGCTCAAACCGATATCATTTCTTAATAGAAGGTTTGTAAAGGTAAGTTTTTATCTTAAACTAAACATGGCCTACTTACTATCAAACATAAACCAATAAGGGAAAAATATTGTAGAAGGCTCACTTTAAATCATTTCTGTAAAAGTTGATATTTATTGATTATTTGAGTCAGGTGAAAATGTTGTTAACAGACAATGCTGGAACAATCGACATGCTTGAAGACCACTGAACACAGTGCTCACGCAAGCGTAACATAATTTACTTACCACCTCTTTGTTTGATATACTCTGGACATAACAGTGCAGTTTTCCTAAGCCGACTCTCAATCTCTTTTGTGTCCTGGCCATTCTCTGCACAAACGATCAGCTCTAACAATTCAGTCTGCCAAGTCTTTTTAAGACGCTCCTTAAAATCTGTGTAACCTTTAGCACGTTTTGATATTACTTTTCTCAATATCGTCTCATTCTTATCAGTTGGATCCTTACCCTGTAACATTGTATTTTATGAATAAGATTCATATTTTTTACCTCTATATCAACTTGTTGATAACAGTTTTAATACATTTGGTAAGCGTTTAATTTTTGTTTCATTTGCTTACCAAGTTCTCTTTTTGAAATAATTTATCAGAAATAATGACATATTGTTAAAGAATATTTCAAATGTAAGTTCTAAGCATGAAATGATTATTTCTTAGGAATTATATTACAATCAGCAATTAAAATAAAAAAAATCACAATGTCACACATGTCATCAAATACTGACAGTTGAATAAAGTAATCTAAATTGCACTGCCTCTAAACTATTTTATATCGTACCTGGATATTCCTTCTGTCTGCGACGTTGAGTAATTCAAAGCCTGTATCACAATCAATTATGGGATCCGGATGCAAATACTTCTTGAGTGCGACGAAATTCTTAATAATGGCTTTTCGGCAAATCTCAATATCAGAAGACTGTGTCATCTCCAGTTCTTCTTAAATACAGATTGATTATGTATCATTCATTTAATAATCTACATATTATGCAGTATGGTTTGCTTGACAAGATTAAAAGTGTATTGATTATCTATCCCTTTAAAGATGATTCGAGTTACGCTACAAAATATATTCTTATCTTGAAAATATTTTATCCAGACTTCTCCTTATTATGTAATGTACTTTTGCTGCAGAATGCGGAGCCTGAAACGCTTTAGGGTTTGCGTTTTTCTTTGCCACATGATTACTATAATCTTAACAACACTGACGGAATGTGCAAATTATTAATTAGTGTGCAAAATCGACAATTGAAATTGTAGTATATTATTGCATGCTGAAAAAGCAATTGCGCCCCGACTCGCACGACCAGTAGTTATATGGGTTGAGCGCATAAATATATGGTGGCAAACATCAAAATGTGTCTGATCATTCCGCAGTGGTATCGTTTATCTTTGTATTTTATGAGGTTAAAATTAGTTATTGACCTCCGTTTTTCATCGGTTTATCAAATGTATTGTCCAATTTGTCGTTACGTGGAATGTCGTAATTGTTTTATCTATCCAACAGTGTGACCATGACAACACAATGAATCTTTTACATTTTCAAGAACACACTTCCTAAGCATAACTTTGACATTAAGTATTGGTTGTTTCTTACCTTGTTCATTTACCAATGGAATGTTCTGTTCCAATAACTGCTGTGCCATATCAACTTGTGGTGGTATGGATATTACGTGCGGAGGCGTTGGCGGCCTAGTCGGAGGCGTAGGTTGTCTAGACGAGGAGGTAGCCACAGAAGGTGACCTAGACTGCCGCCTGACTTCCCTTTGAATTATTAGTGCCGTATGAGGTGGCGTTGCTTGTGGTTGCCTTTTTCGTAGCGTCGTTTTGTCATGGTTCTCAGGTCTGACAGGCGGTTTCCTCTTTCTAGTCGAGCGTCTCATTTTGTCTAACATATAATATAAACGAGCGTTTTAAAATCATTCTTTTCTATTATACTATACTAGTGTTTTAAAATCATTTTATTTTCTACTATTTAGTATAATATTATAATGAATATAGGCGCATTTTACCGACAATTTACATTTTATCATAAAGCTACATTTTTCAATCAATTGGACCTTCCGACTTCTCCCATAATTCATATATATATTTATTTATTCAAATACTTGATACTCAGATATTTTACTTATATCGTTATTTAGTAGCTCACTATTATTAGCTGTACACTCGATTGACTTAAGATAAGAGATGTACCAAAACGTCCCGTCAGACAACAGGCCCCGTTCAAGATACAGTCCACATCACGTACTTAATTCTGTGTATTCCAAAGCCACAACGCTTTTTCTTATAATATAAACAAGTGAATGTCCAATAAAAAATAAGTCTTCAGTCCAAAAGGTATTGGTCATTTAGTTGTATCTTAAGTTACTGACTATTTATGTTAATAGACAGATTTATTGACATTTTTCACTCCGAATACTTCGGACCAATGCCATATAGTAAGAAACGTTTTGACCCGTTTTTTTTAACACTTATGACCATGATATAGCCAATGAAACATAGCATGAAACTTGGCATGGTGGCAGGAAATAGTATTTCAATTCATTTCAGCCGGGGTCCACTTTTTAAAAATCCAAGATGGCCGCCAAAATCCAAAATGGCCGCCAAAATGTACAATGTACATGGGACATGACAAAATGGGGATATTTATAGCATTAAAATGATATAAATTGACATTGTAGGTCGATCATAATAATGACTTGGAAAGTGCTATAGTAGCATCGGAAGAAAATTCAATATGGCTTCAAAATCCAACATGGCCGCCATGAAAAGACCAATTTTTGACAAATTTCCAAGATAAAAATAATTCATATGATCAACACTCTTCATCTATATAACACAATAATTAACTGGCATTTCTTGCATAAATATGCACACACAGGTTTCATTCACACAGAAAAAAAACTTGCAATTATGGATTAAACCATGCGGGCACATTTTCGAAGAATAGGGACCATACTGTACACAAATGGCGTCAGCTTTACAGTTTGGCTTAGGTTTTGCATGCAAGTTTGTTTTGTAAAAATTACATACATGTAATGGAATAGGTTAAAACCTAATACACTCATTTGTGAGCATAAGAGGTCACTAGTTGTCTATATATCAAAAAGTAAAACACAAGTGCGTAAAAATCAATACGAAACCGTTTCGTTATGTGAAAAACAACATATCGTAGAATCACCAAATTAGTCTAAGAATGACTCTAACATAGGTTTTTTGTGCATCAACATCTGCAGAAGTTAAATCCTAACCCTGTATGACGAGGGCTGTAAATGTGTCCTCCTGCTTATGAAGATGTTAATGCACAAAAAGGGTGAATAAATCCTTTATTGTATTGCACACATGCATACAATTTCTAAGCTTATCCGAACCAAATGTTCAGTATGAATTATATAAATAAGTGTAGGGGGAGGTAAAGGGTTCTTCGAAATCCTGTCTCTCATTTAAAACAAGAGGGCCATGATGGCCCTGAGGTCGCTGACCTGTATATAGCCCAATAAGAAGATGTTTCATGCTAAACATCTTAGCTCTAGCTCATTGGGCTTTATAAAAGAAAATTTTTTTAAGGTTTTACTATACACATAAAGTTAAAAAACAATGACACCCCTGGGGCGGGGCCAGTTTTGACCCCAGGGCTTTTATTTGAACAAACTTTGTAGACACTTACTAGAAGATGTTTCATGCTTAATATCTAAACTCTAGCTATTTGGGCTTTTTCAAAGAAGAGTTTAAGTTTTTGCTATACACATATAAGGGAAATCAATGACCCCCGGGCGGGGTCAATTTTGACCCCCAGGGCTTTTTATTTGAACAAACTTTGTAGACACTCACTAGAAGATGTTTATGCTTAATATCTAAACTCTAGCTATTTGGGTTTTTTTCAAAGAAGATTTTTTTTAAGTTTTTGCTATACACATATAAGGAAAATCAATGACCCCCGGCGGCAGGGCCAATTTTGACCCCAGGGCTTTTATTTGAACAAACTTGGTAGACAACTATTAGAACATGTTTTGATGCTAAAATATCTTAGCTCTAGCTCTTTGAGTTCTTTAAAAGGAAGATTTTTAAAGTTTTTACTATATGCATATAGGGAAAATCAATGACCCGTTGGGGCGGGGCCAATTTTGACCCCAGGGCTTTTATTTGAACAAACTTGGTAGAAACTCATTAGAACATGTTTCATGCTGAATATCTTAGCTCTAGCTCTTTGAGTTCTTTCCAAGAAGATTTTGTAAGTTTTTACTATATGCATATAGGGAAAATCAATGACCCCCTGGGGCGGGGCCAATTTTGACCCCAGGGATTTTATTTGAACAAACTTGGTAGACACTCACTAGAAGATGTTCCATGCCAAATATCTAAGCTCTAGCTCTTAGGGTTTTTTAAAAGAAGATATTTAAAGTTTTTTCTTTCGGTTGCCATGGCAACCAGAGTTCTGCATGGAATTAAATTCTTTGAACAATTTTTAAAGGTGACCACCAAAGGAACATTCCTGTGAAGTTTGGATGAAATTGGCCTAGTGGTTTAGGAGGAGATGTCATTTAAAGTAAAAGTTTACGGACGACGGACGACGGACAGACGCCGGACGAAAAGTGATCACAAAAGCTCACCCTGTCACTTTGTGACAGGTGAGCTAAAAACAAGAGCGATCAGTAATCACATGTGTCGCCTCATGATGGCCAATTTCATGTTGGGACAAATTTTGTGACAGACGGACAGTGCCACCAACAGACTTTTGGTACTGATCATTCCTGTAAAGTTTGGATACAAAATTGCGACGAAACAGTAGTCTCTATATGTATGGACAAAGTCGAAGTCACCAGGAGCAAGAATATATATGTGTAACTCTCGGCAAACAGATGTATCACATAGAAATATTCAAATATACACACACCTTTTTATGCCACAAAGGAGCACATATAACATATACGGAGGCCGCGAAATAACCGTTAATCCGTCCGAATAAACCCTGTACAATATAGCCGCAAAGGACCATGCCTAAAACAAACTTAACAAAGAAATCAATCAGCATAGACTAAAAGCTTTTCTCTCAGAATTGTAAATATAGTGGCAATAGATGCAAGACTAGGATCGCGGACAATCTTCAAAATAAACATAGAACTCTAATCATTAAATGTGCATCCACACCTATCACCGCACACAAAAAATCTGACTATCAGAACATAGCAGGACTGCTCACTCAGTACACAGAAACTCTTCCGTAAACAGAATCCTGAAATCACCCTAGAATGGTTGTGGACCAAATTAAAAAGAATAACTGTGGTCCTCAACTTGTTATGTTCGCATCTTCCATTTCATGTGGTCAGGCCATTGATCGAACGTTTATATGGAATTACTCTTGTAATAAGTTCCAGAAAGACAAAGGAAAAAGAAACAAAGGCAAAACACTCATAAATACTTGAACGATAGAGTTATAGTTTTTGGTGCACTGCACTTCACTCTTATTGTGCTGACCATTGTATAGAAGTTGTTTTGAATATCCAAACCAGTACGTTTTTTAAGTTTGCTCCGGACAAGAAAAGTATCACAAGGGCAGTAACTCTGTATTGATATCAAAATGGAGTATATGGCTCTTGAGCACTGGCCACTTCCTATTGAATGTCCTATGCACAATAACTGTATGAAAGTTGTACTGACATTCCAACAGTATTTTCAAAGTTATATGCTCTGGACAAGGAAAAGTAACAAAGGGCAATAACTTCTGTAAATATAGTCAAGATGGAGTTTATATGAGTACTTGTGCACTGCACTTCCCCTTATTGTGCTTGACCATTGTATGAAGATTGTTTTGAATTCTAAACCAGATACAGTTTTTTCAAAGAACATGCCTCTGCGACAAGAAAAGTAAACAAAGGGCAGTTAACTCTGTATATTAGTCCAACGATGGAAGTTATAGGAGTCTTAATGCTCTTGCCACTTCCTCTCAATGTGACCGATGACTCAATTGTATGAAGTTATAATTGAATATACCAACAATACAGTCTTCACATATTATGGGTCCGGACAAAAAGAAAGCACACTGGGAAAAGTAACAAAAGGCACATACACTCTGTAATTAGTTAAGATGAGTTTTTATTAAATTGAGTTTATGGTTCTCTGTGCACTGCACTTCCCCTTATTGTGCTTGACCAATCTTGTATGAAGTTGTTTTGAATTCCAACCAGTAGTTTTAAAGCATGCTCTGGACAAGGAAAAGAAACAGCACAGGCAAGTAACTCTGCTAATCAAGTCGAAAATCGAGAGTATAATTGGTCTAGTAGACACACTTGGACACTGGTCGGAATCCAACAACCTCAATAGTGGCTCATGACCAATTGTATGAAGTTTATACCATTGAATTCCAACAATTAGTCTAAGTCAGAAATGTTATGGTCCGGACAAAAGCAAAGACAAATGGACACCAGATATAAAAAAGAAGGCCAATTATACTCATTTCTATGGTACTTATATAGATTTAGCAGAGTTAGAGTGTATGGGTTCTCTACGCATTCATGCTCACCTCTGATCCGGCATAACTTGGCACACTCCCTTGATGAATTCAAACAAACTTTCATATTCAATTGATCAAAACAATCGCCCATAACGAGGGAACATCGCAGCCCAAGAACCAAACCTCTATCTAAAGTATCTACAGAGTTATTGCCCTTGTGCATGCCTATTCAATTGCTCTTTTCTTATTCCGGAGCATATACTTGAAGACTAATGTGGGAATCAATATAATACATACAATGTCAAGCATCATGAGGCGGAAGTGCAGTGCCCAACACAAAGACCCCTACCACTAACTCTATCTAAGTATTACAGAGTTATCCCTTATTACTATTCCCATTGCTTTCCCTTTGCCGGACCCATACCATGAAAGACATCAATGTCATCGGGCGGTGACACTTACATATAACTATACTTCACACATAACACTCCCAAACAACAAAACCAGAACCACCCACAACACACTCCTCCTCTCAATGTGCTTGACCATTGTATGTAGTTATATTGAATTCCAACCATTAGTCTTCAAGTTTATGCTCCGGACAAAAAAAGAAGGCAATTGAAAAGCAACAAAGGGCAATAACTCTGTAATTACTTTAGATTAGAGTTATGGTTCTTGTGCACTGCATTTCCCCCTTATTGTGTTTGACCATTGTATGAAGTTGTTTTGAATTCCAACCAGTAGTTTTTTCAAGTTAATGCCCCGGAACAAGGAAAAAGTAACAAAGGGCAATAACTCTGTAATTAGTCAAGATAGAGTTATGGTTCTTGTGCACTGCACTTCCTCTCAATGTGCTTGACCATTGTATGTAGTTATATTGAATATCCAACCATTAGTTTTCAAAGTTATGCTCCGGACAAGGAAAATGCAACGGACGTCTGGACCGACCGACCGACCGACCGCCCGACCGACCAACCGACCGACCGACCGACCGACCACCGGGTGACTCCTATATACCCCCCAAACTTCGTTTTTGGGGGTATAAAAATTATTAAAGGGCCATAACTCAAACAAAAATCATTGAACCGGAAAATGCTGAAAATATGCACAACTAGACTTGGTACTGATCATTCCTGTAAAGTTTGGATGAAATTGCACTAGTAGTTTATGAGTAGTCCGGACAAGCTTTTGTGTATCTGGCAATACACAGAAACAGAAACCTTTTTATCAAAGGGTCATAACTCGGCCAAAAATCATTCAACCGGAAAACCCGTGCAATATGCGCAAGGACTTGAGCTACAGATCAATCCTGTAAAGTTTCATTGAAATTGCATTAGTGGTATAAGAGAAGTAGTCCGGACAAACTTTAAAAATAAAAATTATTAAAGGGCCATAACTCTGACAAAAATCATTGAACCGGAAAATGCTGACAATATGCACAACTAGACTTGGTACTGATCATTCCTGTAAAGTTTGGATGAAATTGCACCAGTAGTTTATGAGGAATAGTCTGGACAAGTTTTGTGACGGACGGACGGACGGACAGACAGACGAACAGACAGACGACGGAGAAGTGATCCCTATATGTCTCCACTACTTCGTAGAGGCGACACAAAAATGAATTTAGTTTGCAGCATCCTTGTGATTGTCTTACTGCAGGTGCAAGTTCTTTTTTTCATTTGTAATTTTAGCAGCATATTTATATCAAAGATAACGGAATCAGACTCTAATTATGTTATTATTTTGGCAAGGTCTTGTGAATAAAATTAGAAAATCAGACAAACAAATTGGTAGTTTTTTACCTTGTCGATCTGCCAACATGATGTCTTTCTCCAAACACTGCTGCGCTGTGTCCGCTTGTTGTGGTATGGCTGTTACAGGCGATGATGTACTTGCCCTTGCTGGTAGTGTAGGTGCCCTTGACTTGGACGTATGTGAATTAGGCGATGATGTACTTGCCCTTGCTAGTAGTGTAGGTGCCCTTGACGTGGACGTATGTGAATTAGGCGATGATGTACTTGCCCTTGCTGGTAGTGTAGGTGCCCTTGACGTGGACGTTATTGAATTAGGCGATGATGTACTTGCCCTTGCTAGTAGTGTAGGTGCCCTTGACGTGGACGTTATTGAATTAGGCGATAATGTAGCTGAATGTAACCCATGTTGCTGTGTAGATCCCGTAGGCGGTATATGTATCTTATGAGCTGTGGGAGTTTGTGATTTCTTTTGTGGCTGCCTTTTTCGTGGCGGCGGCTCGTCATGGTCTTCAAGTCTGGCAGGCGGATTCCTTTTTCGAGTTGAGCGTCTCATTTTTTCTAAAAAAATAAAAAATCAGGCGTTTTACAATTATTCTGTTTTACTATTCAGTATAATGAAGTAATGTTGACTAAATGGGATAGTAATGGCTGGTGGTGTATTTAAAAAAACCCAACAAGAAAAACATTTTATCGGAAAGCTACATCATTCTCAATCAGTCAATTCGTTATATGCCTTTAAAATATTATACTGTATATGAAAAATATCTATATGCCAAACAATAAATAGTCATATTGTCTGCGCAACTACAAATAATGTATTACCGTTAATTACACATCCGTATTGCTCAGAGATATGCTTAATGAACATGTTGCATTATTTTTAAATTTTACACGGTTATGCACTAAATCAACTGCAATACGTTTGGTTACAAGTTGAATGACTATAATATAAACATAGGCATGTGGCAAAATCTTAAACGAGTAGGTGTCTTATAGGTACTGTATAATCTTATTGTATTGCACGATAAACGTTTGATTCCGTTCGTATTATTTAGACGCGTACGTCTATATAGATGGTAAAGACTGAAATCGAATGACATAGTGGTAGCAGGCATTTTTTCCAGGATTTTGAGAACATGACCCATACCCATGGGATTGGGAATTTCAGCGATGTTTTGTGAAAAATTGGGTGGAAATATATGACTGAAATTTTGCATTGATTAAAGGAATGCAAACAATCACTGTCTAGGATGGCATCTTCAAACATTAAAGCACTATTACAGTGAAGAAGCCCTTATTTTCAAAGATTTTAGAATTCTTTATTCAATAGTTTTATTTTGAAACTTTCAAATGGGAATACTTTCCTGTCAATTTGGAAAATAATATAATATTTTCTATTGGGAATACAAAATAATGTATGACCCAATAACGGCTGTAAAACAAGCCAAAAAATCCGTTGGTAATGAAGACTAAGTTCAAATATATGACGCTTACGACAATTAACAACAAACCCGTATCATCCGATTAGTAGATAGTTTTATATCTTTGGAGATAATAGTTAAAAAAGAAAATACGTGTTTCATTTACAACAAGTACTGACGCGACATGAAAAAGTTCACAGTCTATCTAATATTTTTGTGTCTGATTTTTTTTTCCAAAATATTGGGGCCTACGAACGGCAAATGACATGAATGTTTAAACAGGTATGTAAGTCGTAGTCTATATTATACTGTTTTAAATTTGAGCATGTTTTGTTTTGCTCAATTCAAATCCTAATGATCATCGCGACTTGTGTACTCTACATAGTACATTTCTTCACATTTTCAAGACTAACAGAACTTTTTCAGCACAGATTTCAGATTTAAGCACATAAGTATCTTTTATTTTATTTTTTGTATATATAGATACACATGTAAAAGGCATGGTCTATTTAAAGCAGCTGACCTCCAGAAGATAGCAGAACAACTGCCGTCTTGATAATATTTCAAAATCCCCCCCTCAAAAACATTATGTTGTTGAAAGAAAACTAAATGATACTTCAAAATGTTCATATTTTAACATTATTACTCTGAAAACCAACGGTTCGCGTTTCTACCCACGGGAAATACCTTCTTTTATTATACCAAGGAATTCTTTCATCCGGGTTTTTTTTCTAGTATCACGTGATCGTACAGGTCAATATCGCGACCTGTGCTCCGGAACGCACGGAATCCGGGATTTTATCAAACATATAGGGATACCAATAATTGCTTTTGTAGCCTCCCCAATGTTAATACCATTCGTCAAATCTTACTGCCGCGGTAATTAGGTCAAAAAATAGTACCTTGATTATTTTAAGCTGACTCATCTGTCATCACAGACATTTACAATATTAAAAAAAATATTTTCATTCTTTAACCTCATATCTGCAATTTGTAAAGATAATAATTCTCTGAAAAATTCTTGATTTTTGTTTGTTTTTTTTTTCAAAATCACTACTCCGTGACGTCATACTGCCGCGGTAATCAGGTTTAGTCATACGTTGGTCATAAATAGTTCTGGTATGAAAACCCTTCTACATAATAACTTTATTAATAATTCTTTCACAAAAAGCATAAATGAAAATTTATAGGTAAATGCTTTAATTAGGTGGCAAATATTCTTTATTATTTTCGATATCAATTTTCCTATTACTACGCAGCGACCAACTGTTTATGACGGGTCATTAACTAGAACGTTGCAACACCGAAGTCTCAATTTCATGCATGTTCTTTTGTTGTTATAAACCATTAATACTCCTTAATGTGCAATAAAATTTTTAATACAGATTATGAGATACATAAAAATATTAAAGAATAAGAAGCTAAAAAAAAAACAAAAACAAAAACGCATATATATACGAATGACTTACAGTCGAGCATCGGGAATTCATCAACATATATAACGAAATTTTAATTTGAAAACGATATTTGCGCGCGCTGAAGTGATTAATGTTTATTCGAATAAATCAAATAAAAAGAACTTATATGTTTGTGTTCTAAAAATAATTGGCGGCATAAGACAAATTTCGTATTCATTTTACAACACTTGAAAAATTACTACAGAAAATGTGTTGTTGTTTTTTTGTTTTGTTTTTAACAAAAGTGTGTGTGTTTTAAGTTTATTTATACTCGGCGCCGGAATAACCATATGTCCGAGATTATAGCATCGGGGATGTCTTTTTCAAGCAGAATCTTCATGGTAGCCCATTCTTCGTTCGTTAGTGGTAAAGGAGACGACAATACTGTCAAGGCATCAACTTCCTGACTGACGACAACAAAAACGGCATTCATTAGCGCCAAACCTCCAGAGTAAGTTACGACAGGTTAACCAATCACCTCTGGTACTTGAGATGACTTGACCTTGACCTGGCGTGTGCCTTCTCCGCGACGTGCATGCCTCTGGAGGGATTTGGAGAAGTTTCAACAAAAACTTCCAAAACATGTTATTTATAACACCATTCATAGCACTGACGCTTCGATGTTCTCATCTATTTGCGGGAAATGGTCGACAAGGAAAACCCTACGTAATAACCGCACACCCTGTTAACAACAGATTTTCCGCAGTATATATTTCAAGCTAGTGAGGTTTAAAAATACATGTAGAATCTATCGATTAACTACCATAAGTTGGTTGAGTGTTGGCGGTAAAAAAAGAAGATATAACTTCCTGATCAATTTTCACTTAGATTGATTCAATTTTGAATAAGCTTTGCAGATATGTATTTTTTCAAGAAATATTTAGCTTTAATATTATCCGAAGCCGTCAAAGTCAGCGACGAGTAATGAAATGGGAATAATTTACTGAAACGTGATTTTATTCGAGATTTGCTTCGAGAGAAGACAACTTTCTGTCCGTAAAGCATAAATATTAATACTCATCACAAGACAGTGTCTTATTGATCTCAATTATGGTACATGTAAATATGTTTAATTTTTATGTTCAATAAAAATGTTGCATAACTTGCAGTTGTTATTACCATTCAATGATATTAAAATGACATAAAGTATTTATGATGAACAGTCCTAGAATATTTTGATAAGGAACCGTCAGTTGTAAAATGGTATTATGATCTTATAATGAACAGTCGTCATACATGCTGGTATGTCATTTATAAATGGCAGTTTAGGTTTTTCAAAATTTGCATGATTAACAGTAGACCTCAATGAAATGTTCTGGAATATTAACACAAGAGCGATCAGTAATCACATGTGTCGCCTCATGATGGCCAATTTCATGTTGGGACAAAGTTTGTGACAGACGGACAGACAGACGGACAGTGCACAACTAGACTTGGTACTGATCATTCCTGTAAAGTTTGGATAAAATTGCACTAGTAGTTTATGAAGAGTAGTCCGGACAAGCTTTTGCGTATCTGGCAACACACAGAAAAAACACCTTTTTATTAAAGGGCCATAACTCGGCCAAAAATCATACAACCGAAAAACCCGTGCAATATGCGCAAGGACTTGAGCTACAGATCAATCCTGTAAAATTTCATTGAAATTGCTTTAGTGGTATAAGAGAAGTAGTCCGGATAAACTTTAAAAATACAAATTATAAAAGGGCCATAACTCTGACAAAAATCATTGAACCGGCAAATGCTGATAATATGCACAACTAGACTTGGTACTGATCATTCCTGTAAAGTTTGGATGAAATTGCACCTGTAGTTTATGAGGAGTAGTCCGGACAAGCTTTTGTGTATCTGGCAACAAACAGAAAAAAACACCTTTTTATCAAAGGGTCATAACTCGGCCAAAAATCATTCAACCGGAAAACCCTTGCAATATGCGCAAGGACTTGAGCTACAGATCAATCCTGTAAAGCTTCATTGAAATTGCTTTAGTGGTATAAGAGAAGTAGTCCGGACAAACTTTAAAATTAAAAATTATTAAAGGGCCATAACTCTGCCAAAAATCATTGAACCGGAAAATGCTGACAATATGCACAACTAGACTTGGTACTTATCATTCCTGTAAAGTTTGGATGAAATTGCACCAGTAGTTTATGAGGAGTAGTCCGGACAAGTTTTGTGACGGACAGACGGACAGACAGACGGACAGACAGACAGACGACGGAGAAGTGATCCCTATATGTCGCCACTACTCCGTAGAGGCGACACAAAAATGATAGTCAACCATATTAACCATATATATGAATGGTTGAACACAACAGTAAGGATAAATGGCGCAATGTGCATATCTTCTTATTTTGGTAATAATTGAAATAACAGCACATTTTAAGCAAAAAGAAAAGAAACTATAAGTCTGAAACATTCTGTCATAGCCTCCCCATCAGTACATTCAGTGCTTTGGATATATTTGTAGTAATTCATTGCCCTAAAATTATAATTGATTAATTATTTCATATATATGATGACCAATTTATCGATTTAACCTTTAGCGTGAAATGTGATAGGGGCCTACTCAATGACGAAAATTGATAAACGATCCCGGGCATACCGAACACCGGGATTTTTCCGGACCCCTGTTGTGACACACGACCGTGTTAAATGAATTATCTTCTCCTATTTATATTGGCT